CAAAATGATACATATCTATATAGGGCTGCTTTTTCTACTTACAAATTTTAGTTACTCTCTACCATACAACAGTATAAGTTTATCAAAAGAATAACTGATTTCAATTATTTATACCTTTGTAACCAAAAGCATTCTACCAAGTGATCTGAAGTCACATTTAGCAGGAATCAAAATGGACACGCTTCAATTATCTATGTATCCAAACATGATTAGATGCTTTATTTTCTTTTTATTCCCATCCTCAAACCAATACCAAACATCAGTCAAAACCAAAAACCAAAATAAAGGTAAGTCAAAGCCATCAAAACACAAGAACAGAAGAATAAAGGAAGAAAAGAAGAAAAAAATCTGGGGGTACCAAAGATTAACAGAAAAATTTCAATCTTATATTTAAAATGTAAATGTCTAACATCCTGAATATAATTATTATTTAGGAGGAAAAAAGTGTTGCCTCACTATGAAAGAAATTATCCAGTAGCAAAAATAGTGGGAGTGAACCAAAAGAATTTTTCCCATTAAAGAAGAGAAAATAAACAAGGCAAACCTCTTCCCTTTGTACAAAACACATACTATAAACAGCAGCTAATTCATTTATCGTTTCATTCATTTATCCAAAGCAGCAAATCTCAATGTAGGGGGCGGGGAGGAATAGATGGTTTCAAATTAAACATGCCTCCTCCCGACTCTTCCTTATTCCTCACACCTCAACAACGTCCAATAATCCTGCCCTTGTTGAGAATCACTGCTATGGAGACCCACTGTAAGAATGGAAATGTGCCAATTCCTTAAATGTGTTGTATTCCTTAAAAGATGTAAATCATTGATCTAGAGCATCTGTGCATAATAAAACCCACTTTCTCACTACAAAATTCTATTTTTCATATCATAATTGTGGGTTCTAGGCACCCTTGCTTCAGTGAAGTGGTACTCAAATTCCTTTTTTGCGAGTACGTGAAAATGGTATGATAAATGTTGATGATAATACCCAATGGTTATTAACAGTCTTGGACCAGGCAGAAAGGCAAACAAGTCTGCCATTTGATTAGGTGAGTCCTGCTACTCTAGCAAAACATTAGCCATTCAGAAACCTCTGAAGTCTGAGTTATCCTGGATAGTTTAATATTCTAGATTGCTTAAGATTTATCTTATAAATTGTTGATTTTATTTTATAATTTGTGATAGGATTCTCTTTTGAAGTATACCATATTCACTTAAGAACAAATGTTTTAAGTTACAAAAGTAACTCACAACCACTGAAAAGATATCAACAATTCGAAAGCACATGAAATGAAAAACCTTCCTTCCTTTTCATCTTCCTACTCCCATTCCACAGGGGTAACCACTGGAAATCAATTTAGGATGTATCCTTCTATACCAGTGGTCCCGAACGTTTATGGCACCAGGGACCAGTTTCATGGAAGATAATTTTTCCACAGACCAGTAGAGGATGGTTTCGGGATGATACAAGTACCTTACATTTATTGTGTACTTTATTTCTATTATTACATTGTAATATATAATGAAATAACTATACAATCCCACCATAATGCAAAATCAGTGGGAGCCCTGAGTTCACTTTCCTGTAACCAGATGGACCCATCTGGGGCTGATGGGAGACAGTGACTGATCTGAGAGGAGGTGGAGCTCAGCCAGTGATGCAAGTGGTGGGGAGCAGCTGTAAATGCAGATGAAGCTTCACTTGCTCACCCATCGTCCACCACTCACTGCACACTGGTCCATAGGCCTGGCCCCAGGGGCTGGGGATCACAGTTCTAGACCTCTTCAGAATGCATACAAATTTTATACATAACTGTATACACAAACTCAAATAAGCAATAAGATTCTACTGTATATTCAAGTTCTACAACTTGATTTTTATACTGAAGCACTGAATAGCCTTTTAAGTTTAAATGTGCTAGTATTAATATATCTGATTTGTTTTTAAACTGCATATACCACAGTATTTTTCATCATTCTTTTAGACAGGCACTTTTAGGCCGGAATCTTTTTTTTCTGCAGTAAACAACTTTGTACATATATCTTTTGAACACTTGTGTTTTTCTGCAGGAAAGTTTAGAAACAAAAATGTTGGATTAAAGGATAGACACTTTTTTATTTTGAGGTACACTGTTAAACTTCCTGCCTTCTTTAAAATAATCTGACTAATTCTTTTATTGAGGACCAAGCTCATTCTTACCAAAATTCATTTTGTTACTCTGTTGTAATACAGTGAAACCCTTGGGGCTAGAGAAGTAGATGGTTCTATTCACTCCTTGCTATGGTTCCCCACCAAAACTCATGTTGAAATTTGATCCCTAATGTGGTAATGTTGAGAGGTGGGGCCTAATTAATGGGAGGTGTTCAGGTTATAAGGGCTCTGCCCTAGAGGGTGGTGGCTTGGTGCCCTTCTTATGGTAGTGAGTAAATTCTCACTCTGGTGAGACTGGATTAGTCTTCAAGGGAATGGATTAGTTTCCAAGAGAGTGGGTGGTTACAAAGCCAGGACAGCCTCAGGTTTTCTCTCTTCACACGTGCTTGTTTTCCCTTTGACCTTCTTCTCCACGTTATCACGCAGCATGAAAGTCCTCATCAGAAGCCAGGGCCATGCCCTTGAACTTCCCAGCCTGTAGAACCATGAGCTAAATAAAACTCTTTTCTTTATAAATTACCCAGTCTTGGATATTCTATTATAGCAAAACAAAATGAAGACACGCCTACGTTAAATTTCATCTGTTCTTGTAATTTTTTAACCTTTTCCTGTATTGTTTGTCACATCGCAGTGCCATCACTATATTGCCTATTGCATTTCCTCCACACTTTTATTGGAAAACTTGGAAACTAGAGAATTTAACATGCTAAAACTGAGATCAAATTTTTTTTTTAACATCTGAAAATGTTTCCAACCAGCATACATTTAATAATTTAATCAGAAGAAAACACAAGCTGGAAGAATCAATTGCTTCTAGAACCCTGTGGGTCCTGGGTCCCAAGGCAAAGAGCTGGGCTCTGATACACACAATTTTCCTACTTGGTAATCATTCTAATGCATCTTATTTTCTCTCTAGAAGTGATTTTAGAACAAAGACCTAGAGCGCTCACCATCGGAACGAATCTGAGCAACAGCGTTCTACTCTCTTGACAATTGCGCAGTACACGACAAATACACACCAAGTGAGTGAGCAGTGGTGAAATCACTGCCAAAGCCAGAAATCTACAAAAGACCACATGGGCCGAGATGCTGAAGGGCTGGGACTCACACCACCTGTGGAGACCAGTGGTGGGAGGCAAGAGGAACATGCACCTTGGGTGAAGGCCCTGGCAGGGCAAGACTGCGACAGTGTGGATTCAGTCCAGATTCAGCTTCCAGCAAACGGGGAACCTGATGCCCCAGGGTCAGCACCTCAGGCCCACCTCAGCCCCACCTCAGCCCCTGCCCCCGGTAGCCTATCCCTAGCAAGATTCAAGATCAAATTAAAAATGAAATTTTTAACTATCCAAACATGAGTAGATATGGTAAATGCTATTTTAACCTCTCAGAGGCCCTTTCATGCTTCCAGATTTTAGAGGAGTAAGGTTCCCAGATCATAAGTTTTAGACAGGTGAAATGTCATCACTATTATTATTAATATACTCATATTTTCATATGCAAAGTATCTAGTTTAAAAAAAACAAAAGGCAAATGGATTAGAAAATTAGCATAATGCCACTATTCCAATAAATATCATAATAACAACATGGATATCATTATAAAATTATATTTAATCTATTTGTTATACTGGTCTATTCCATCCCTAGACACAGACAGTTGTTTCCATAGACTACTGTAGAGGACATATGTGGCTTATCATTCAATATCTCCCCCTTCATTCTGGAACCACTATCTTAAATTTATTTTGAGTAACTATCCTTTCCCCATCATTACCTATGTATCAATATTACCATCTCAGTAAATTGTTCAGGATAAGCATATGAACTAACTAGAATCAGTACGACAAAAGGCGACCTTTGCTAGGATTTCTGAAGAACTTGTACTCTCCCTTTCATCCTCCTTTCCCTTCTTCCACTTCCTTCTCTCTGTCTCTTCCTTTCTCCTCCCTCAAAGGTACAATAGAGAAGACCATCATTCTTCTCCAGGATGTCAGGGTATGATGACATAGAATCTAGAGCTAAGGGAGTAGAGATGAAGTTATGGAATGAAACCTAAGAGTAAAGGCAAAAAGAGGGTGCAGAGCCAAAAGATGGGACCTGGAGATAATTGACCCCTGAATCAAAATACATCTGGACTTTTAAGTCACGTGTGCTTGTTTAAGCTGGATTTTTGTCACTTGCAATATAAAGAGCCCTAAGCCCTATAGCTAGAACCTTATACTGGTATCTAGTCTTCAGACTTAGAGTACTATCTTTATTGAAAAAGTTGCCACAAAACTACTTGTCAAGTTTTGATCTAACAATAATGATTTTGCTGTTTGAGCAAAAATCTAACATTAATTCTATCAGTTTTAAGACTAAAATTTTTCCTTTAAAACTTTTATCTTCTAACACATATTCTAAAATCACTTGCATTAGTAATATATATCTGAATATTGACAGAAACTCAGCTCAGCACACAATTTCCAAGTCTTACCAACTCTGAAGAGAAACGGTGAAGAATGTTCAATAAGATTGCTAAAGTAAAAAGTTACAGAAGAATCAAAGAGTAAAACACAGAATAACACCTAGCTATTTCTTTTTCCTGTCATTTTGCTCCCTGACTTTAGGATTTTTAAGTGTCTTTCTGGAATGAAAGCTACGCAAGATCTAGCTGGCCAATATTCCTGGTGGTATTACACTTGGCAATGATTTAATTAAATCAATCATTAAACCAGACCAATTACCTAATTCCATCTAATTCTGATGAAGAACATACAATTTAACCTCTGGAATACCACATTTATCTAATATTCATTTAACTGTTTAAACATGTAATTTCATTTCTAAGAACTGAAAAAAATTTAACTTACCTCAATTGTTTCGCATAATTCTGTTCGATTTCTATCCTCTCTTTAACAAATTTGGCATATCTTTCCAAGAAATCAATTCCCCATTGTGTATGCTTGTCTAAGCTGTCGAACTGATCCTAGAAAAGGAAGATTAAAACATATTTTTTAAGCCTCAAATTTTATCCAAACATATTTTAATCATCTTCTGATTTTTGTACAGAGAAGTAATGCGGTATAAAGGCAAAAAACCTAGGCTAATCTGGTGGTCCGCATTCACCTCACCCTCTAAGACCCAGAAATAGGCTTCTAAGCATAAATCATATTACTTTATGCCTAAATGCCTTTACCCACATGGTTCCCCCTGGTTGCAACATCCTCCCTTAGTCACCTTTTTGCAATCAATTCTTATTCCCCCTTTGAGAGATGGCCGATTCCTAGCTACTGGACCACCAGAGATCTTATTCCCCCTCTGAAATTCAGTTCAGGCATTATCTCCTCCAGAAAATGGTCCTAAACCTTCAGAGTAGGATAAATGGCCTTTCTCTAAGTCCCCAGATTTCCCTAAAATTACTATCTTACTCACTTGCCATACTATACTGAGGCAAAAATCATGTATTATTTATTCGACTCTGAAACCCCAAGGCCTAATAACAATGCTTGGCACCACAGTAGGCATTGAACGAAGAACTGTTTAGCTGAACAAAACTGAATATACCTGAGTTCAAATTCTGGGATCTGCCATTAACCAGATGTCTGACCACTAAGCAAGTTATCAAGGCTCTTTGAACTTTTTTCCATCTTAAAATGGGAGCCCCATCACCCACGTCATAGGCCTGTGGTGATGTTATTTAAAACGTTCTGTAATGCAGTAAATATGGCACTAACATATAACAGTATTATTGCCCTGCAAGGCTCTCTCAATCCTTAAAGATATTCCCTTCTACCTGCCACTAGAGAAACAATTAATATCATTCCCCTTTAAGAATAATCTCCAAATAGACTAACAACTAATAACTGCTCTCTCCCTCTCACATATCAAAAGTCTACAATACTAAAAAATATTCAAATATCATTCCTTTCTATACTTCCAGGTTTTTTTAAAATCACCCATGGTTTAATCACATTTGTTATTTTCAAATGAAATCCCTCTCTTTACCTTTAATCTCTGTTCCACCTTAAAACATTTTATTATAAAATTCTACTCCTAAAGGCAAATTCTCTCTAAATAACACAGACAGAATTCATCAGGTCATAGTTTGGTATTACAACTCCAATTCTATTCCTCTAAGCAACTTTCTGATTACCATTTGAATGTAGCAAGAAAACGCACTGCTCAGTAAACTTAATCTGTGTAATATGTCATATTACAAATTGAAATTCTTCAAATTGAAAAACTCTCAACCAAAAGCAACACTCTGAAGCTGAAACAATCTTCATTCATTTTCCCAAACTGCTTCAAAGGCTTGTCTTCCCACAAGAACTCTTCTTCATCAAATAATTATATTACACTTCTTTATCCTCTAGATGAAGTCTCCGAATGTTTTTGGGTTTTTTTTTTTTGCTGGCCTGAATTTTTTCATCACAAACCCTATCAGTAAAAAATCTGAACAAATACCTCTACTATAACTGTACTTATTTATATATTAAATATTATACTACTAAATTGTATAGTTATGAAATCCATAAAAATAGAAACTTTAAAACTATAAAAATGAAATAAACTTCATTTAATTTTTTTTTAACTAATTTAACAAAAGCCTTTGGGCCATGACTTTAAAACATTACCAATAATTTTAGTGAGAGCAATGAATCAACTATGCTTCATTATTTCTAAAATCCAGGTTTAACACTTAATGGCAAAATAATCTGAAGGTCTTGATTCTAAACTGTAATATCTAGTTTTTAGTGCTTGTCGTAGGTAGGAAACCAAAGGCACCTCATAAAGATACAAAGATCTCAATGGGAAAAAAATCACTGTTGTCTACACTTTCTAATTCATTTTTCGACCCCATCCACCAATATGCGAAAGTTTATGTTAAAATTTTGCTAAATTTCCTTGATGTCAGTTTGTTATTTTTACAAACTAATCAGAAAATACTTCATATTTTTTTTAACAAATGGGTTCAAATCCCACTGAAACTGACTGTGATGGTTAATTTTATGTGTCATCTTGACTGACCCAGAGTGCTCAAATATTTACTTGGCCAAACATTATTCTGGATCTTTTTTCTGTGAAGGTGTTTTTTAGATGAAATTAACATTTAAATAGGGGAATTAGGAGTGAAGCAGATTACCCTCCAAAACATGGGTAAGCTTCATCCAATCAATTGAAGGCTTTTATAGAACAAACACTGATCTTCCCCCAGTAAGAGGCATTCTGCCAGCAGACTGCTTTTGGTCCCTGCAACTGTTCCCTGGGCCTTACCCTGCAGATTTGGGACTTCCAAGACTCCACAATCACATAAGACAAGTCCTTATAAGAAATTTCCCAATATATGTGTATGCATTCTATTGATAATGTTTCTCTGGAGAACCCTGACTGACACAATGACTTCAAAACAAGAAATTTCTGTTTCCAAGAGTTTTAAGTGTGCAGATATAATAATATTAGTAGATGACATAGATCATTTTCAGCTACAAAATAACATAATAGATACATTTCCAAACCTTCATCACCAAAATGCTTTCTCTATAGTTCAAATTTCTTCAGAAATTCACTCACCATTAAAACTTCCCTTTAATCTTGAAAGGACAGATTAAATTTTCTCAAAAATACCTAGCAGGTAAACACATTACTAACAGCCACTTATTAAACAAAGGTCAACAAATTTCAGCCAGCCAGGAGATAAACAGCAAACTGTGTGAAACAAAGATTTTTTTTGTCTTTTAATTTTTAATTATTATAGATGCATAATTGCAGGTCTTTATAGGGTACATGTCATGTTTTGATACAGGCATACAATGTAAATTAATCAAATGAGGGCAATTGCAGTATCTATCAAGCATTTAACATTTGTATTAGGAATATTCCAGTTCTACTCTTTTAGTTATTTTAAAGTATACTCTGACTTGTTGATTATACTCAGTTTGTTGTTATGCTATCAAATACTGTTCATTCTGTCTATTTTTGCACCCATTAACCATCCCCACTTTATGCCCCCCTCCCTACTACTCCTTCTCAGCCTCTAGTAACTGTCATCCTACTCTGTCTCCATGAGATTGTTTTCAATATTTGGCTCCCACATATGAGTGAGAACATGTGAGATCTGTCTATCTTTCTGTGCTTGGCTTATTTCACTTAACAGTGGGTTCTCCGGTTCCATCCATATTGTTTCAAATGGCAGGATTTCATTCTTTTTGTGGCCATATAATATTCCATGATGTATATGTACCACAATTTCTTTATCCATTCATACGCTGATGAACACTTAGGTTGGTTCCACATCTTGGCTATTACGAATAGTGCTACAATAAACATGGGAATGCAGATATCTTTTTGATATACCGAATTCCCACCCTTTGGATGTATACTCAGCAGTGGGATTGCTGGGTCACATGGTAGTTCTATTTTCAGTTTTTGAGCAACCTCCATACTGTTCTCCATAGTGGTTGCACTAATTTACATTTCCACCAACAGTGTATGACGGTTCCCCTTTCTCCACATCCTCACCAGCATTCCTTATTGCCTTTTTGATAAAGGCCATTTTAACTGGGGTGAGATATCTCATTGTAGTTTTGATTTGCATTTCTCTGACGACTAATGATGCTGAGCATTTTTTCACATACCTGTTGGCCATTTGTATGTCTTCTTTTGAGAAATGTCTATTCCTTTGCCCATTTTTAATCGGATTATTTGAGTTTTTTCCTATCAAATTGTTGGAGCTCATATATTCTAGATATTAATCCCTTGTCAGACAGGTAGTTTGCAAATATTTTCTCCCACTCTGTGTGGGTTGTCTCTTCACTTTGTTGTTTCCTTTGCTGTGCAGAAACTTTTTAGCTTGATGTGATCCCATTTGTCTAATTTTGCTTTGGTTGTCTGTGCTTTGCCAGTATTACTCAAGAAATCTTTGCCCAGACCAATGTCCTGAAGTGCTTCCCCAACGTTTTCTTTTAGTGTTTCATAGTTTTAGGTCTTAGATTTAAGTCTTTAATCTATTGTGACTGGATGTTTGTATATAGCGAGGTCTAGTTTCATTCTACTGCATGTGGATATCCAGTTTTCCCAACACCATTTACCGAAGAGACTCCTTTCCCCACTGTATGTTCTTGGCACCTTTGTCGAAGATAAGTTCACTATAGATGTGTGGATTTATTTCTGGGTTCTCTATTCTGTTCCATTGGTCTATGTGTCTGTTTTTATGCCAGTGCCATGCTGTTTTGGTTACTACAGCTCTGTAGTATAATCTGAAGTCAGGTTATGTGATTCCTCCAGTTTTGTTCCTTTTGCTCAGGATGGCTTTGGCTCTTCTGGGTCTTTTGTGGTTCCATATAAATTTTAGGATTATTTTTTGTATTTCTGTGAAGAGTACCATTGGTATTTTAATGAGCATTACATTTGATCTGTAGATTGCTTTGGGTAGTACAGACATTTTAACAATATTGATTCTTCCAATCCATGAGCATAGATTATCTTTCCATTCTTTTGTGTCTTCTTCAAATTCTTTCATAAAGTTTTAAGGTTTTCATTATAGAGATCTTTCACTTCTTTGGTTAAGTTTATTCCTAGGTATTTTATTTTATTTGTAGCTATTGTGAATGGGATTCACTTTCTTGGCTTCTTTTTCAGATTGTTTACTGTTGGCATATAGAAATGCTACTGATTTTTGTATGTTGATATTGTATCCTGCAACTTTATTAAAGTTATCAGTTCTAATAGTTTTTGGGTGGAGTCTTCATGTTTCTCTAGATACAGTATCATATAGTCTGCAAACAAGGCTAATTTGACTTCTTCCTTTCCAATTTGGATGCCCTTTATTTCTTTCTCTTGTCTGACTGCTCTAGCTAGAACTTCCAGTACTATGCTGAATAACAGTGGTGAAATTGGGTATCCTTGTCTTGTTCCAGATGTTAGAGGAAAGGCTTTTTCAGTTCTTCCCCATTCAGCCTGATACTAGCTGTGGGTATGTTATATATG